GTGAGTATCCTACCTTGTCCGCGGGTGACACACTAGGTGCACCTTCCCTGAGTAACCACCTAGGAGCTGGAAACTTCTGTATTTAGAGGCCAGTATCCTGTCCATGTCCCCCTCCCCCCTCATACTGTGGTTAACGAATCATATGTTTAAAGCTTATAATTCTCAGATGTTGTTATCAGAAAAAAGAAAAAGAAAAAAACAATCATAGTTAGGGCTGGTCGCAGTGGCTCACGCCTGTAAATTCCATGGCTGGGCCATGATAAGCTGGGGTTTGTCATGAAACCCTCTTAAGGGGAGGGCTCCTTACTGTCTTCCTTTTTAATTTCTGAATTACTCTTTGTAAGGTACATTTACTTGAGGTGAACGTTTGTCTGTTCTGAAGAAAGTAAGTTGAATGGATCAAAAGGGTAAAATGCGCAGAGGCTGAGGGACAGCTGCTTTAACTATGGCAGTGCTTTTACACAAGGTGGCCGTATGTCCATGTTTATTTTTTTGGTGGGGAGGCCAAGGTGGGTGGATCACAAGGTCCTGAGTTCAAGACCAGCCTTGCCAAGATGGTGAAACCTCTTCTCTACTAAAAATACAAAAATTAGCCAGTTGTGGTGGTGTGCACCTGTATTCCCAGCTACTCGGGAGCCTGAGGCAGAGAATTGCTTCAACTTGGAGACAGAGGTTGCAGTGAGTCAAGATCATGCCACTGCACTCCAGCCTGGGCTGCAGAGCAAGACTCCGTCTCCCCCCCCCCCCCCCCAAAAAATAATAATCAAATTTTACTAGTATCAGATGTTCACATAGCTGTTTTCTCTGGAGTTCTTGGATTCTGAAGCAGAGAGCAGCCCCTCTTCTCTCCACATTGGCATCTGGGTCTGTGGTGTGCTTGGTCCCCATGTCTAAGCCTGTTCCTTAGGTGCTGCTCCTTTAGAGTGGTGTTGCTTGAGCTGGGACTGGTGACCAACACACTGTGTTTCTGTTCCGAATGGTGTGTTTGGAAAGCCTGTCGGTGGTAGCGAGGTGGGAAGGAAAAGAAGTCTGAACTTGGCATACTGTTAGGTTCTTGTAGTGTCATGAAGCGGAAAGTCTGCAGAGGAGAAAATGGACACTTTATTCCTAGAAATGTGCTAATTAGCTTGTAGGTGAGCAGACTTAAAGAACTTGGGATCCATATGCTAAGGCCAAAATCTTGAATTATTCAGGGATGCAGGAGCCGGTTAGTCACGGCCACTCAGCTGGTACTTCTCAGGAAACCCTCTTGAAGGGGAGGGCTCCTTACTGTCTTGCTTTTTAATTTCTAAATTACTCTTCTCTATAAGCTACATTTATCTGAGGTGAACTTTCATCTGTTCCAAAGACTGTAAGCCGAATAGATTGAAAGAGTAAAATGCTCAGAGGCCAAGGGACAGCTGCCTTTACTGTGGCAGTGCTTCTACGCAAATGTGGCCCTGTGTCCATATTTGTTTGTTTGGCTGGAGCGTGGTGCCATGATAAAAACTCCCTGAAGCCTTGACTTACAGTCTGTAGCTGGGACCACAGGCATGCACCTCCATACCTGCTTTTTTTGTTATTTTGTAGGGATGGGGTCCCATTATGTTGTCCAAGCTGGTCTGGAACTCCTGGGCTCAGGACCATACTGTGATAGTGTACGAGTGGGGGTGAGTGTGTGCTTGGTAAAGTTTTCCAGTATGGTGGTGACATAGTAGAAAAATACACAAGCAATACATGGCCCTCTAGAGAATCTGAAGAATATTGAGAAGTATAAGGACGAAAGTCAAGACCTGAGCTTGACTTTGAAGAATGAATAGGAGTTTGCCAGGTGGACACAGTGGAAAAAGGCTTTCTAGGAAGAGGGAGAGGGACCCTCCTAAAGTGGAAGGCATTTGCGGTTGCTCAGAGGCTGGGGAGGCAGCCAGACAGCAGCACTCGAAACTGCATGCCATGGGCTCTGGGAGGTGGCTGCCACGGTGGTGGGTCCTGAGGTCCCAAACAGCCAGCCTGGGGAAACACTGGAGCGTGTCCCATGTTGGGGCAGGAGCTTTTGTTTTCCAGTTGTGTGTGTGTGTATGGGTACTGTGCCATGAGGTAAAACATGAATATACTCCTTGTTAGCTCAGCGACTTCTGTACACCACACTGAGGTGTAAATAAGAAGTGCATTAGATGTGCACTGTGGGGAATAAGTTGATGACGTGGCTGGAGGCGGAGACAGTTGAGTTGTTATGATAATGCAGGTAAAGAAATACTGAGACACTCTTGATCTAGAAATCAGGGTGGTGGCAGTAGGGAGGCGTGATAGTGATGGGGAGGAGCTGGAATGGACAGGATTTATAAGTGGGCTTTTGATGAGGAGGAGGAGGAGGCAGCTGGTTTCTGTCTTGGAGGGTTAGTTAAACAGCAGGTGCCCTGCAGCAGGGCAGGGGATACAGGAAGGAGTGAGCGCTCTGTGCTTTGTGTGTGCACAGGCTGTGTGAGGAGAGCTGAGCTCAGTGAGAACATTGTCTCTGATTGACAGGGTCCCTAGTTGGACATTGGTGCAGTGGGTTCAGTAGGGAGTTCTGATTGGCTGAGCTCAGATTCAGCAGCACATTGTTAAAGCCAGAGGCTGGTGAGAGTGGCCAGGCAATGGCTGAAGATGACATTGAGCGGGGAGGTGGAGGAAGGAGAATCTAGCAAGTGAAACAAAATGGAAGCAAAGTTGGCAAGAGAAACCAGGAGTGGTGGAGCAGAAGCCTGGGAAGAGAGAGTGGTTTGTAGGTAAAATGCCAGTGCGAGACCATGCCACATGAGTGCCAGTTATATTCCATGTTCCTCACAAGAAAAATGGAGGTGGCATCTCTTACGGGCTGTCATGAGGGTTGAATGAGGCGGTGTGTGGAGAGCACAGACTGGATGTGCCTGGGCATGTGGTCACGATGGCATGGCCAGTGGTGGTGATGGGAGGGGCTGCCACTCACCAGCTCACTTGCTCTTCAGCCCATGCAGCCTGCCAGGACTCTGCCAGACATGGGACGTGTCGCTGAAAAACGCAGAGCTGATGCCGACATGTGGATAGAGATGTTGTCCATTTTGTCACATGCACTGGTCAGCTTGCTTGTATATGTCTTTTGTACTTTGCCTTTGCTGCATGAGAGGTCTGTAAGCAATTAGTAATAAACAAAAAAGCAGGTTTTATGTGGAAACTCTGTGGAGATTAGAGGATTACACTGAGTGCAAACAGGAGGAAGGAGAAGAGGTAAACCCTAGGCTTCCAGAAGCCGTGTTGAGTCTGTGGCACCTTGGTCTTAAGAAGAGGCTGGGATGGAGCTTAGGCTGACCCTGGGAGTGACCATTTCTGTCCCCCCCACCCCTGTGCCCCATGCACCCACTTTCAATGCTTGCAGGGGCTTGGTTTGTGATGCAGGAGAAAGCAGAATGGGAAGAGAAAAGCACAGGCAGGGCTAATGAACATGGTGATGTTCAGACAGGAATTATGAAGCATCATATGTAAGGAACAGACTCCTTTTGCTTGTCTTTAGGAAGAACTAGAATTCATTTTGGTGATTTTTTTTTTTTTTTGTTACAGTGGCTGGCCGTCAGGTTGCATTAATGAAACTGGAAAAGTAGTGTTTCAAGACAGTGGACAGGTCAAGCTGGGCGGGGACAGAGCCTGCTGTGTGGAATCCTTGCCAGTCAGTCACTCATCGAAGGGTCATTTGTTGACCTTTGTCCTTATTAAAGGGAAAATGTACCTGCTGTGTACTCGAAGGTCTGAGCATGAGAGTCGGGAATCCCACGCTTCAAGGTCATTGCTGTTCTCCCCTGCCATGTACTAGAACTTCTGAGTGTGAGAGTTGAGAACCCCGTGCTTCAAGGACGCTGCTGTTACTCAGAAGCAGAGCAGTCCTTTCCCTCCCCCAGCGCCCATTTAGGAGTAGGGTGTGGTGGCTCACACCTGTAATCGCAGCTCATTTCGATTCTGTTTGTTGCATTTTAGATGTTGAGCTGTACAAATTATTATGTGCTCACATTCTACATTAATAGAACAGTACACATTTAGGGACAGTGCTTTATTTTTATTTTTATTTTTTTGAGACCGAGTCTTACCCTGTTGCCTAGACTGGAGTGCAGTGGCAGGATCTCGCCTCACTGCAACCTCCACCTCCCAGGTTAAAGCAATTCTCCTGCCATAGCCTCCTGAGTAGCTGGGATTACAGGTGTGTGTCTCCATGCCTCGCTAATTTTTTTGTATTTATTGTAGAGAGGGGGTTGTGCCAGGCTGATGTTGGCCAGGCTGGTTTTGAACTCCTGACCTCAGGTGATCCTCCTGCCTCTGCCTCCCAACGAGCTGTGATGACAGGTGTGAACCACCATGCCTGACCCCTAGGCATTTCAATTATGTCTCCTCTACTCTCAGAGTTTAAAACTTGTATAGTTCTGTAAGTTGTAGTATGTAAGAGGCTTACAGTACCGTATAGATTTTTGGATTACTTTTCTAGTTTTGAAAGAAGGCAGTTGAAATTCTGATAGGTACTGCACTGAATCATTAGGGTACCTCGGGAGTGTTGCTGTAGTTAAATTAAGATACTGTGTCTTTTGATCCACGAACGTGGGATTCCCTGTCCCCAATTCATTTAGGTCTTCAGTTTCTTTCAACAGTGTTTTGTGGTTACAGGGTACAAGTTTTACATTTCTTTGTTCAAATTTGTTGCTGAATATTCTTTTTTTTTTTTTTTTTTTTTTTGAGACGGAGTTTCGCTCTTGTTACCCAGGCTGGAGTGCAATGGCGCGATCTCGGCTCACCGCAACCTCCGCCTCCTGGGTTCAGGCAATTCTCCTGCCTTAGCCTCCCGAGTACTTGGGATTGCAGGCACGCGCTACCATGCCCAGCTAATTTTTTGTAGTTTTAGTAGAGACGGGGTTTCACCGTGTTGACCAGGATGGTCTCGATCTCTTGACCTCATGATCCACCCGCCTCGGCCTCCCAAAGTGCTGGGATTACAGGCGTGAGCCACTGCGCCCAGCCTAAATATTCTTTTTGATGCTGTTATAAATGGAAATGTTTTCTTAATGTTTTCCAGATTGTTCACTGCTTGTGTATGATGATGATACAGCTGACTTTTGTATACTGATCTTGTATCATGCAGCTCTGCTAAATTGATTGATTGAGGACCTTGTTGCATATCAAGACAACGGTTTTCTTCATGGAGTTATATCTGATTCTGAGGTTCCTACTTGGCAAAAGACAGGCTGGTAACCAGTGTCCAGAAGTCTGCCACCACTTGGATTGTTCATTTTGTAGAAACAGAACAGATGAGTGTTGTGAGAGGTTGCGAGTAACTAAGCGATTGTCAGTGAAGTGAATCAGCCACTTCCTGGTTTTCTCTGTCTTCGCTGTTTCCCAGTGTCCGTGACACTGATCATAAACAGTGAGGCCAACAGTGAACTCCAGAGACAAGTAGATAAGGAGATATTCATGTTTTCTTTTAAGATTTGCTGTTAGAGTATGATGCTGATTTGGAATTCTGTGGGTTTACTAAGAGCTAAAAATAAATTGGTCATCTGTGTGCCTGCTTTAGGCTTTCTAAAATGTTGGTCTTATGTCTTTGTTGGTCAGGATTTCAGGTGTGTTAAGTGACCTGCAGAGCTGCTCTTTCCTTATTAAAGCTTGCTTTAGCATTGCGAGGCCAAGCAGGGAGGTGGCGTTTGTTGCTCGGGGAGCTTGTAAACTCTGCCACACTGCTTGGGTCTTGTGGAGCCGGACCTGCTGTGGGAGGGAGGCAAGCCTTGCACAGCCTAGCTCTGTGCTTCCTGTAGCTTCTCCTTTCGTGTCGTTGGGGCCGTTCTCACTGTTGGCATTTGCGTCACTTTGATTTCATGCCTTTATCCCCCTAATTTTCAAGTATTTCCCGGGTTCTGATCTATAGCTTCCTTTTTTCATGATAGCTGTGCCTCTATTTCCTTCTAACAATGCATCTGTTTACTTTAATTTTTTTTTTGCCATTCCCCTGGATCAGGTGAGGAAGGGAAGGTTCTGGTAGGAGTTGGATGCCTTGTCTGAGGACTTAAGGTTCTCCTGCGTTCCAGAGTTGGTTTTTGTTCTTTTGCAAAGGAGTTTGATTCCTATCAGGGCAGGCATTGTGGAAAGGGAAGAACAGTTGTGTGAAATCATCCCCTTTTGTTCTTATTCTGCATTCATCCACTTTGCACTTTCTTCTGCTAAATGGTATAAAGAGAATTATTTAGAAACATTAATTTCTTTTCCTGCTTTGTTTTTTTCCTGTAATAAAAAGAAACATTTGCATTGAAGAAGGAAGCCTGGTTTTCCTTCTAGCTCCTCCCTACCCTCACCTCAGTTCTCAAGTTTGCTTAGTTGCCTTTATTGCCTTGAGCGTTCTCTCTTTAACTTTAAATGAAGGAAAACAGAAACAAATAGCACCCCATTCTTAAAAGAAAAATACCAAAACAAGAAACAAATTACGGCTCACGTTCTCCGCCCCCAGTCCCAAAAACACGGAGTCGGGGGGCGCAGCTGTGTTCACTGGAAGGAGGCCAAGCTCAGGATCGTCGCCTAGCCAGAGCCAGCAGGTGGCCTGTCTGCACCAGCCAGCCTTGGGATTGTGGGGCTCCTGGCACCATTGTGGGAGTAGAATCCAATTGGTTGTGCCTTTTTAAAAATGAGATGAGGCTGGATCTGAGGTCCTTACTGTTAATTTAAGTCCTCTGAAGTTACATTGTAAGGAGGTTTTTAAAGCCATAATAATAGCAGATGCATATTCATGTTTTACATTTTCAGTTTTAAGACTGATCGTGGTGAAGAGTGTGTGCTCTGGAGCCAGCCAACCTGATTTCAAGTCGTGGTCCCACCAATTAAAATGTGATCCTGACTACATTTCTCACACCCCTGCGACTTCAGTTTTCTCATCTGCAAAGGGATCGAGGTACCTACTCTGTGGGATTCTTGTGAGGATAAAGTGAGTTGATACTAGATAAAACCATATGAAATTGTCAATATGGGACTCTATTTTTTTTTAAATTGAGCGTGTGTTTTCAGTTATAGTTGTAAGAAATCTTTGAGAGAGCCCCTTGTACACTTAGGGCAGTCTCTTCCTCTCTTCCAATGGTAGCACACTGTAGAACTGTGGTATTAATAGGACGTCACAGCCAGGATGTAGACACGGTATTGCTCACCAGTCTTACCTAGATTGCCTGAGGTTTACTTGTATGTGTGTGTGTCTCTCTCTCTGTGTGTGTGTGTGTGTGTGTGTGTGTGTGTGTGTCTGTGTGTGTGTGTGGGAGAGAGAGAGAGAGAGATTGATTTGAGTTCTGTGTGGTTTCACCACTGGGGACTCCTGTCCCTGCCGTGCTGCAGTACTGAATAGTGAGGGTCCCAACCGCGAGGATCTGCCGTTTGCCCTTTTCTAGTCACATTTGCCCTTCCAGCCCATCTCCCTACCCTGGTCCCTAACTCCTGGGAACCACTAATTTGTCCTCCATTTCTAAAATTTGTTGTAAGAGCCTCATGTAAATGGAATCATAGAAACGTAACCATCTCGATTGGCCAGTTGTCCATTTTGCTTAGCGTAATGTTTGCTCTTTTTTTGTTGCTGAATGGCCATCATGGTGTGGGTGGACCGCAGCTTACTTACCTATCTGCCCATTGTGAGAAATGCACATTCAGCTGTCCAAACCCAAAGAGTGGACTTGGAGACACAAAGAATAGTGGAAACGAGACTTCTGATGGTAGTCTTGCAGGACCGGGCACCTGGGAGCAGGTATTCCCAGGGCAGCCTTGGACCTGCTAGCATGCAGGTCCCTCCCCCAGGTCCTCAGTGGTCGAGTACTGTGGGGCTACAGTATTTAGTTATTTATTCATTTATTTTGAGACAGAGTCTTGCTCTGTCACCTAGGCTGGAGTGCAGTGGTGCGACCTCGGCTCACTGCAATCTCTGCCTCCCAGGTTCAAGTGATTCTCCTGCCTCAGCCTTCCGAGTAGCTGGGAGTATAGGCGCCCGCCACCTTGCCCGGCTAATTTTTGTATTTTTAGTAGAGATGGGGCTTCAGCATCTTGGCCAGGCTGGTCTCGAACTCTTGACCTCATGAGCCTCCCAAAGTACTGGTATTACAAGCACGAGCCACCTCGCCCAGCTGTCACCTGAGTTTTATGATCTGCCTTATGAGGTTATACCATCCCTTTCCCTGCTTACGCTTCCATTTCTCAGTAATGAAACCTCCTTCCATTTTATGGGCTGACCCGTCCTCTACATTCTTTTCGCTTACCGCGACCTTCTAGGTGCATGAGCTGTGTGGTTTGTTACATCTGCAGGCTGGCTGCCAGTGCTCAGATTTATCATGCCTTGAAAATGGACCATTTAAAATATTTTCTTAAACCATAGAAGCACATCTGACCTGATTCCAGTTTATGGTGCACATGAATAAAAACAGCTATGAACATCGGAATGGGGATGATTGGACCATTTTTGACTTACAGTAAAGGCGGCCACACACTGAGTCTGGGTGTTTCTGCCCATAAGCAGCAGCAACTGTGGTGTCCTTCCAGGTTCTCTCAAGCCACGCGTCTCATGCCTTCTCTGTGCATGTGTTTGAAGGTACTGAAAACGTATTGATCAGAAAAGCCACAGCTCTGCACTGGTCTCTGAAAACCCATCTGTGTGCTCTTGCTGTTCTGTGGAAAGTTGGGAAAAGACAGACCCAGGCCTGAGACAGGCTGATGTGACCACCACTCGGAGCCCAGGGTTCATGGGTTGGTTAGTGAGCCAGTGTCGGGGTACTCGGCCCTGCGCTGGACTCCCATCGTCAATAGTTCCCCCATGGACCTTCCCACTCAGCCTAACTCGATTGAAAATCGTCGTTCATATAAGGTGGTGATTGAAAAAGTGCTCTGGCTAACAGCGTTTTGAGACCTAAGGCCCATGTAGGGACCAGGCTTTGCTAACATGGATTCCTGGGCTCTGAGGGTGTTGGGAGGGTGGCTCATGAGAGGGAGCCGAGGGGCCTGAGCTCACAGCGATGACACCAGTGTGGTACTTGGTTGTCAGAAGGAGCAGGCGGTGTGGAACGGCCATAGGCCTCATCATTTCTTCGCTGTCAGTTGGAGTTACATCAGTGTGGCTAAAAAGTATTGCTCATCTTAGAAGACTGAACACTATGATTAGCAGTTGTAGGTCTGCTCATTGATTAGCAGTTGTAGGTCTGCTCACTGAAAAAAGTGATTACTGATGTGCCTTGATATAAAGAGAGAAAAAAAGTCGGAGTGAATTAAACATCAATACAGTTGTGTACGTCAGGTTCTGTCGGGGGGGGAAAAGGGAGACTCTGTACTAAAAACATGAGCCATCTTGAACTTCTGTTCTTCTCCAAAAATAAGCATCAGGTCTGTCCAGCCTTCTTCCCAGGGAGTCTGTGGTTCTGTTTCGGACAGGGCTTGTGGCAGTGACTGCTTGTCGAGAGCAGTGAGTAAGGCAGCTCTCACGCAGCAGAGCACGGGGAAAGCCGACGACGTGGGAAGGACGTCAGAAAGAAGTGGGGTGCGACTGGGGCAGCTTAAATACCGTGTTACTACTTGACATTTTAAAAAGTGTGTTTATACCTACCCATAATCGTACCTGTTAGTGGAGTCTGGTAAGATGCCTCAGTCCATGGATGCCTTGTATACCAATGAGACCAGGGTGGGTACTGTGTCCAGGCCCTCAAATACCACTTCTTTTTGGTGATAACATCTAAGATCCTCTTTTTTAAGAAAATTGTTTTAAAAGTTATTTTAATCATTTGGATATTTATTTCTTCTTAAAGAGACAGGGCCTCACTCCCTCGCCCAGGTGGAGTGCAGAGGTGCCGTCCTGACTCACTACAGCCTTGAACTTCTGTGCTGAAGTGATTCTTATACCTCGGCCTCTCGAAATTCTCTGGTTATAGGTTTTGCTTGGAACTCTTTCTTCTTATGTAACTACCTTTTTACCCATTGATTATATGAAATAATTTTCTTTCTGTATCCCTAATGTGGCAGCTAGCCCCTGAAAAGAGTTGGTGAGATTCTCTAGAGTAGTAAGAGAAACTCAAAACCTTCAATTGGTCCACTATTCAGAGAGAACCACCATTAGCGCTGAAAATATTTCCTAGTTTTTCTTACACCGAGTGCATGTAGCGGATGTCCTCAACATCTGGGATTATCCTCTTGTCCTGTTGCCATTTCGATACGTAGAAGCATCTCCCTTTGTTTTAACTGGATTGTGGTTTTGGTTGTGTGTATGTGCCAACCCACCCACCCCTACTCCACCCTCACCCCCAGACATGGATGGGTGATGGTCTCATCTCTGACCCCCTGGTCCTGTCATCTCACTCTGACTCTTCATGTCTCCATGATCTGTGTCTACATTATGCCTCCACAGACCTGTACATTCCTGAGTTGCTGTGGATATGAGCTGACTGTAGGAAGTGTAGCCTGGTGCATTTCTGTTTGACAACATGGCTTTTTTATAGTTGTGGTGGTGGTTTTGATGTGAAACCATGTATTCTAATTGAAGCTTTATTTCTTTACTCAGGAGGCTGAGGTGGGAGGATCCCTTGGGCCCAGGAGGTCCGAGGCTGCAGTGAGCTGTGTTTGCGCCACTGCATCTTATCCTGGGCAACACAGTGAGACCCTGTCTCTTAAAAAAATTCTAGGCCGGATGTGGTGTCTCACGCCTATAATGTCAGCACTTTGGGAGGCCAAGGCAGGCGGATCACCTGAGGTCAGGAGTTTGAAACCAGACTGGCCAACATGGCAAAACCCCGTCTCTACTAAAAATGCAAAAATTAGCCAGGCGTGATGGCATGTGCCTGTAATTCCAGCTACCCAGGAGGCTGAGGCAGGAGAATCGCTGGAACTCGGCAGGGCACAGAGGCTTTCGTGAGCTGAGATTGCACCACTGCACTCCAGCCTGGGTGACAGAGCAAGACTGTGCCTAAAAAAGTTTTTCTAACATTTATTCCAAATATTTTAGAGGCTCTGGATTGGCATTGTTTCCCAGAAATAATGGGGTCAGTTACTGAGATACTTTCTCTTAGTCAGAAAGAAAAGACCTTTAGACCAGAACTTTCTTCACAACTTGCTTTTAATACCCTGGGTGACCCTAAGACAACAAATAACTTAGCTTTGTTTCACTTTACCTAATTTGGGCCCAGTTTCATCTATATGTGTAACAGTAGTTGGATTAAAGCAGTAATTCTCACTGGGGCATTTTGCCCTTTAGCGGACGCCATCTGGAGACACTTTCGGTTGTCAGGATTTGGTTGGGTGGCCCTACTGGCATATAGGAGAAGACAGATGCTGATCAACCCTGTTGCATGCTCAGACTCTGAACCCAAATGCCAGTGGCACTGAGTGTGTGAATCCATAGACTTGTGGCGTTTCCGAGTGCCTGTAGGACTCCGGAGGTCGATCCTGGGGCTTCTTGCTGGCTTCCTCTGCAGATGCTCCTCCTCTCTCTGAGCTGTTTTATAGAAAGCTTTGTGGCATACTTGCTGCTTTTCTCTGAAACCAGGCTGTGTGGTGACTGGAAGCTGCTTATTCACATTTATTTTGATTGATTGATTGATAGAGTATGGAGTGCAGTGGTATGAGTAGCTCTGGTCACAGGTGCACACCACCATGCCTGGCTAATTTTTTTTGATTTTTTTAATAGAGATGAGGACTCGCTGTGTCGCCCCGGCTGGTCTTCATTCAACTCCTGGGCTCAAGCAGTCCGCCTCCCTCAGCCTCCTGAAGTATTCGGATTATAGGAGTGAGGCAGTGCACCCAGCACACATTTATTTTTAATGGTCCTTGAGGTTAATGGCAGCTTTGAACAGTCCTGTCCAGGAGCTTAAGGACAGAAAAACCTCACTCCATCTTTGCAGAGCGCGCATGCCATGAGTGTTTCTCAGGAAACACGTGATTCTCTTGGCTGCTAAACGTAGAGCCAGGGAACCCCACACCAGCCAGCCCTGTCTGGGGAGCTGCCTTTAGTCCTGTCTGTGCTTCCCTCCCTGGTTCTGCACACAGATGTGTTTGGAGTTGGAGTGGAGCCTGATCTGCTTGGATTGGACTGAAGTAACATGGGTGTGGATTTTCTTTTCCCATTTAGACTGGTTTGTTTTATTCTTGGAGTCCCCAGAGCTCTTCAGGGAGATTATATAGTTTTATTCAGCTTTTTAAATTTAAATTTTAATTTTTGAGACCTAGTTTTACTTTTTACACCCAGGCTGCAGTGCAGTGGTGGTGTCTCAGCTCACTGAAATCGTCGCTTCCCAGGTTCAAGCGATTCACCTGCCCCAGCCTTCCAGTAGGTGGGATTACAGGCATGTGCCATCATACCCAGCTAATTTTTGTATTTTTAGTTGAGACAGGATTTTACCATGTTGGTCAGGATCATCTAGATCTCCTGACCTCAAGTGATCTGCCCACCTCAGCCTCCCAAAGTGCTGGGATTACAGGTGTGAGTCACTGCGCATGGTCTTATTAAGCTTTTTTAAAAATGGTACTGTAATGTAATCTTTTCCTTTTAAAATATTCAGTGCTAATGAAAACCACCTTAATTTTTTTTTTTTGCATATTTTGTGTAGTTTAAAACTTAATACGATTCTTAAAATTAGCCTTTTAAGGCCAGGCGCAGTGACTCACGCCTATAATGCTAGCACTTGGGGGAGCTGAGGCGGGGGGGGGGGGGGGGGGTGGGGGGGGGTCGGGGGGTGGGGGGCTGGGGGGGGGGGGGGGGGGGGGGGGGGGGGGGCGCGGGGATCACCTGAGGTCAGGAGCTGGAGACCAGCTTGGCCAATGTGGTGAAACCCCGTCTCTATCAAAAACACAAAAATTAGCTGGGCGTGGTGGCGGGCGCCTGTAATCCCAGCTACTTAGGAGGCTGAGGTTGAGGCAGGAAAGTCACTTGAACCCAGGAGGGTGAGACTGCAGTGAGCTGAGATCACACCACTGCAATCCAGCCTGGGTGACAAGAGCGAAACTGCGTCTCAAAAAAAAATTAGCCTTTTAAAAAACTTACCTTATTGGTAATGTTTTGTTTATATGGCAAGACTACAGTGGTTACTTGATTAATTTGGTTTCTTACTTATAAAAAGCTTTAGGGCCCACTAAAATCTGATTTTATGGTGATTTTGCAAGATTGTATTAGTGTCATTTGCTCTTTTTTTATATTGGACTTTGGATTTACCTTTAAGTTGTTGGAATTGCTGCATTTTCACGTAGAAGTATTTGATGAATGAAGATAAGTTTTGGCCGTGGTACAGTGACCAGGAGCTGAGCAGTGGGTTGTGGGAGAGGAAGGGAGATGGAATAAACCATATGGACCAAACAGAGGGATACGAAAGCTGCAAAAGAACAGAGGTTGGAATTATGATTTACATGAACGGATTTCACTCTCGTTTCAGGTTATATACAGCCCTGCTCTGGGATACACCTCCACTGGATTTAAGAGACAGTCCTCATCAGCACTGACTTTCAGCTATGGAATCGGTAAATACTCACTGCATTGTCTCTTTATCAGTTTGTTATTGTCATTGGTTTGTAAAAATGAGTATGAAAATAATGCGTGAGTGTCCTTGTTGGTTTTCTTGGACCTGATAGAGTTTTGTCAAAATGTTTTGAATTTTGGTCTCGATTTCACTTAGAGTGTTTTCAGAGTGGTAACAGGTGAGCTTTTTTGGATTAATACATGCGATCCTTGCTGTCACAGTGAGAGGAAATCTGCTAAAAAATTAAATAGGTTGTTAATAACCTATAAAAGAAGTTTATTTCCTCACAGCGTCCTTTAATTTTCTTCCACCTCAGATGGTCTGTGTGTTCTGTGCTCTGCGCATGTTGTGAGAATGGTTTGCATGAGGCTTCTGTATCCTGGGAGCTGTTCTTCTCTTGTTAGAATCCTGGTGGTGGTCTCACCTGGTTGTTCTGTGCTTCTGGGCACGGCACTGCTGCAGAGCCCTCTAGGTGGCTACTCCGGCCTTTCCTGGGAGCTGGAGACCAGTGTGGTGGTTGGCAGGTAGGGAGTGGTAGCCCGGGTTGCTGGCCCTGACTACTTGCTTCTTCCTGGGAGTGACTGGCATGTTTTTTGAGAGGAGGGGCAGCAGTCTCCGTAAAGAGTTTGGCCTTGGCTCTGATCAAACACTTGTTGCTATAGGACAGAGTCCTCCCTCCTTCGGGAGACGCACGGTGACTGGCAGGTTATTTTCTCTGATACGTGGGCTGACAGCAATTGGAGAGGAAACTCTTGGCTAATTTAAATCTTCATAATTTGGCCAAGTGTGAGTGAGGGTTTTAAAGTGAACAGTCCAAAAATACATGATCTGGTTTGTGTTTGTTACTCCTAGCAAACGTGAAAGAATCTTTCCTGCAACTTCTTCCGGGAGTTGCACATGCTTTATCTCAGTCACGGTGGAATCAGGCCACTCTGAAATACACCTGACTGGTGTCGTTCACATTATTGAAGTATTTCCTTGGAAATGGAGATGAGGTTTGAGGAAAGGGAAATCTGAGATATCCCTGAAGATAGGTCTAGAATTGTCTTCTCTTAATCTGGGGGATGATCTTGCGGTTAGAGTGAAGCCAGCCTGGATGGTGGTGGTGGTCATGATCAGGTGAGATGTTCTTCAAGATCTGGAGTTGGACTGAGTCTGGTTGTGATAAAAGGGGTGCCATGGAGGGGCCAGGTACATGGGAAGAGGGGGCCAGTGATACGGGAGCACCCCCACACCCCAGGGTCTGAGCTGTGCCTCTTTGTGTAAAGGATACTGCTGACCTTAATGTATGACAAAGAAAAGCAAATTGCTGCATTTTCTTAAAAAAAATTTTTTTTTTTTTTTTTGGTAGAGACAGTCTCGTTATGTTGCCCAGGCCTGTCTTGAACTCCTGCCCTCAAGCAGCCCTCCTGCCTTAGCCTCCCAAAGTGCTGGGATTACAGGTGCAAAGCCACCACACCTGGCTAAAATGCTGCTTACTAGTGTGAAAAATGAAATTATTAATAAACAATTAGTGGCCATGCGAGGTGGCTCACACTTGTAATCCCAGCACTTTGGGAGGCCGAGGTGGGCAGATCACTTGAGGCCAGGAGTTTGAGACCAGTCTGGCCAATAAGGTGAAACCCTGTCTCTATTACAAATATAAAAATTAGTCACACATGGTGGTGAACACCTGTAATTCCAGCCAGTTGGGAGGCTGAGGCAGGAGAATTGCTTGAATCAGGAAGTGGAGGTTGCAGTGAGCCAAGAACCCAGTGCTGCACTCCAGCCTGGGTGACAGAGTGAGACTCTGTCTCCTAAAAAAAAAAATAGATGGATTCAACAAAATACGTGCTTTTCTGATTAAAGGGGAACAAGCTATCAGTGACTCTGCCGACGGGACCTGAAATTGGCCTCATGGTGTAGCACTGTAATGCATTGAGAACAGTAGATGTGCTGTTACATAGGTTTGATGACATAGGAAATGTTCTCATTTTTGACCATGTCACAGTAATAATCTAAGGTGTTTAATGCCATTTGTCACTTTTGTGAGCTATAAACACTCAATTAATACTGATTTTTGTCTTTTTTTTTTTTGTTCTGTGGTGGTTAGATTGAATAAGATGAAGGCCCTTAGCATGAGGTCTGTTCTAGGGACAAGGGAGACTGTAGTGTTTCTGCAGAGAGGCCCTCCCGAGCAGAGGTTGGGCGCCGTGACCCACATGGGCATGTGAGGACCTTGATGAGGCTTGTTATCCATTGATTTGGAGGGTTTCTAAAAAAACTGCAGAGTTTAAAAAAAAAAAAATAGCTGGCCAAGCACACTGGCTTCCACCTGTGATCTCAGCACTTTGGGAGGATGGAGTGGGTAGATCACTTGAACTCAGGAGTGCGAGAACAGTGTGAGTAACATGATGAGACTCTGTCTCTACAAAAAATGAAAAAATAAGCCAGACGTGGTGGTTCCTGCCTGTGATCCCAGCCACTTGGGGAGGCTGACAGAGGGACAGAAGGATCACTTGAGCCCAGAAGATTGAGGCTGCAGTGAGGTGTGATCATGCCACTGCACTCCAGTCTGGGCTCCAGGGTGAGACCCTGTCTCAACTAAAGAAGAAGAATTTTACGGGTTCTGTAATAAATTTTTCATTGCTATTTGTGTCATTCCTATATTTCAATTTGATTACTTAACGTGGAATGTCAGCAGTTTAGATGAGCTCCATAGTTGCTTCTTCAGTATGTGTCGCTGTGCTCTTCTCTCCCTTCTGGGCATGACTTAGGTGCCCAGCTTGGATGGATTCTGGGCTGGTTGGTCCTGCCCTGGGTTGGGGCCAGGGTCCAGGGCAGCCTGTGTGTGCTGGGCTGACTGGTGCTAGCTCTGTGGCCCTGACCCTCCCTTCTGCTCTCCAAGCCTCAGTCTCCTACCCTGGGCAGTGGTCGTGGTCATACCTACTGTAAAGTCATCTTCAGAGATTAAATAACACTTTACAGAAACAAGACTGCATGAAAATAGACGCTTTGAAACAATTAGATCTAGTTTGTAAATTGTTTTTCTAGTATAAAGTAGTTGAAGCTGATGAAGTGAACCTTAACGGACACAAAAACACCAAGGTCCCCTTTTCCTATCCGCCTTGTTTCTTGTCAAATGTAATTGGTTCCCTGTAGCAAATGGAGTAAGGGCTCTGCGTGTCTTAACACATGTCATTGCCAACAGAAGGCCCATTTACAACTTGCTGAGATTTTGGTGGGAAAAAGAGGAAGGGAGGAGGAAGGAGACACGGAGGGTCCAGTGTGGCTTGATCACCCCAGTGCCTGGCTGAGCGGGAGGGATTGGGTGGGGGGTGGGGGTGCATGGCCAGGAGACTCTGGGAGGCATCTTCCTGACTGGCCATCGGATTCCTCAAGTTCTGCTGAGAATTCTTGTCTCCTTTTACCCACTGTGGAATAAGGATCTTAATTATTTATTTGTGTGGTCCATTGGGAAAAATAATTTGGCATACGCTTAATGTCAACAATGGGATAACAGTGGAATTCGAAACGTAAACTGGTGGGGCACCACGAGACCACGCCTGTCATCCCAGCACTTTGGGAGGGTGAGGTGGGAGGATGGCCCGAGGCAAAAGGGATGGCAAGTGGTGGGATTCGAAATGTAAATTGGCTGGATACTATGAGATTACCTCTGTAATTCCAGCACTTTGCAAAGCTGAGGTAGGAGGATTCCCTGAAGTCAGGAGTTCAAGATCAGCCTGGGCAACATGGCAAGACCCCTTCTCTACAAAAAGACACAAAAATTAGCCAGGGGTGGTGGTGCATGCCTGTTGTTGTCATAGGTACTCAGGAAACTGAGAGGGGGGGAGGATTGCTTGGCCCAGGAGGCAGAGGTTGTAGTGAGCTGTGATCACACCGCTGTATGCCAGCTCTGGGTGACAAAAGGATTAGAAGAAAAAGAAAAAAGGAAGACATGGACCACCCCAACAGCGAGATGTGTTGCATGTGGCCCAGCTAGGGCAGTCTGCACCCCTCTCAGGTGCAGTTGAGGTTAACCTCGATTGTGTGTAGGGATTCTGAAGGCAGTGCTGGCCGCTGGTGCAGGGCAGCAGGTTGAAAGAGAAGTAGAGTGAAAGGGTCCCTGGGGCTCCATGGTGGCACCAGCATGCGCGTGAGGGGATGTGGTGGAGGGCACTGGCATGGAGGCATGGCCCTGGATATGGACTGCCAGCATGGAACTCAAGCCCCTGTGCTGCTGCTGGGGGCCCCCTGCCCTGGCTGTCCCTCCCTCCGTAGACAGCTTTGAAGAAAGTGCCTGCAGAGGCCCGGCAGCCGGAACGTGTTGACTTTGGCAGCAGGAGCTGTCCGGCCCTGTTTTTGCTGTGGCCCAGTACATACAGCTCTATGTGGAACACGTGCTCATGCACATGTGGTTTCTGTCTCGCCCTGGCCACGGTGGACCACTCCCCACCCCCTTCCATGTAGCTTCCCGTAGGCTCAGAGGGCTCTCTGCATGGGCATGGGAAAGTAAGGGAAATGAGGAGCGAGGGTTTTTTGTAAATCAAAGGACACTTTTATAGCTTTTGGTATTGTTTATAGCTTTTGGTATTGTTGACCTTTTGCTAAATGAATGATTTGTTTATTAGAAAAAATAAAACTGGGATTCTTATTCATATCTGATGCTGTCAGTACATCAGCAGGATAGCAGCTGCTTTCGGGGCCTGTTTGTGTCTGGAAGGCAAACAGGGCCGTAAGCAAGAGGGCAGGGGAGGCCTTTGTAGCCTGGGGCAGGTGTGTCTCCTCTGTGCCTCTGCGTGGTTCCTGATGAAGGCCTCAGCTCTGCAGCATGTCTTAGTTTGGTCGAAGGCCGAGACCATCGCACCCCCCGCCACCCGTCGCTATCCATGAGTCTTTTTCTGTTCATTCTCTTCATTGCCTGGGTGCTGTCAGCCTGTGTTTCAAATTTATTCTTGCCAGTGTTTTGTTAGTGGGAACAAAGTTTCTGAATACTGAATCCTGGTGGCTTACTAAACACAG